GCCACTCCATACCTGTCCCAACTTGATATATGTTGCTCCCATGCGCTCAAATAACTTTCGCAAGTAAATGGGTGAAAGCAATCCAAGCTGCATTCCAGACGGCAGTCCTGACGATGTATTTGCTGTCTGCTGATTATTGAAGGTGACAACATATTACTTCCAGATAACAGTTCTCATTCATAAAGAAACTTGAAGAATAAAGTCGTCATTGGTACACTGATGCATGCAGAATGGAATTGATGCTTGACAATATTACAACAACAAACTTAGCAGACTAACATGCTTATAAACCGATGCCATGCAGAATGGAATTAATCCACTTGTTGTTACACGCTAAAGTCGTTAATTAAATATTCAGATTTTTCTAGGATCATTATTGATTACAAGTTTTGGTATAATGGGAACTCCTCTGATATAGGACCTAGAAACCAAGAATTTATTTTTTCTCGCTTACCTACCCTAGTTATCATCATGGATATTTTACTGGCTGTCTGCTAGCCGTCTTTCAGTCCTTAATGTTTTTTCATGTTCCTTGTCTATCAAACAAATGTGCAGGCACTCTGATTATCAACAAATGATTCTATATAAAGACATGCTTAAGAGTAATTTTGACAGAGCATGAAAGACAGTAAATTTTCAAGCAGGATAGTGAGTAACACTAAAATCAAGCAGACAAACAAACTACTTAACTGAAAATTATGTTATTTTTTAAGTCTATGGCATGCAACTGATCATATCAAATCACAATTACCAGAATCAGTCTAACCTCCATACATCTTGATGGTAGTTTTGCATCTTGAATCATGTTAATTTTGCTTCCAGGTATAAAACACATGATGCGATCGCCAAAATTGGGAATTCCATCCGATAAATGTTATTCCATTCTACAATTATAAACCAACTACAAACAAATAACTTTTGATTATTTATGTTGTACATATCTAATTTGGATTTCATTTAAGAAAAACCCAAAACAACAAAAATAGCATATATAAATGTCTTCTCTAATATAGATGCATATGAAATAAACATATATATATGTGTGTGTGTATTCACCTCGCTGTAAAAACCAGCTAACATTAACTTCCCTGTCCCAGAAACTACGTAACTTATTAGTGTACCTCTTAAACAGACATGTACCATGAACATGACCTGCGTTAATTGGGAACTGACTGTTTACTTATAAGTTATAACAACTTATGTTCACCTTGGATACTTCAGTAAGCCACTCCCCACCAACTCCAATAACAGCCTGAATGCCTTGAGCTAGTCTAAGTGCGCCTCTGGGCCCTGTGTTAATTGATGTTTGAATGATGTCTTCAACCAGCTTGGGAAAGTTCTCCATGCTATCTGGAAGGACCACCAACAGCAAGAACACCAAATGAGAGTAACTGATCAAATAGAAGTATTTGGTAATCTTAGCATCATATTATTTATTTGCTGAAAAAACTTTTATTTTACTTTAAGAAAGCATGGTGTACTTATTCCTCCTATGTGGGGGTTCATGATTCATGGTATGTTTGGCTTGTAACAATGCTAAATGGAAAGCGTGAATACTTCATCAATTCACTTGTTGCAAAAGGTTCTAAGATCCATCACGCTGATCAAGGTACAGAAAGGTAAAACAGACAATGAGGTTAACTAGGCAATGATGTCAAAGGCCAAGGAGCTGAGGTGGATGATCTGCTGGCTGACTTTATGAGGAAAAGAGACAATGAGAGATGGAGGCTGTCTCCTATAAGACAAAGAAGATTAGAATATTGCCAAAAGTTACTCTGGTGAATCTCTGTATTCATGCCAGCCTAAGTAGCAAAGAAGAGGGAACAACAAAGCAGGAAGGAGTCTTAGGGGTCATGTGAGACCAAAGTGCTCTGGGTCCATTCTTTAGGCATTGAAGCTGATTGTACCATCAACATCAGAGGACAGTCAACTGTCTATGTGCAAGGCAGGTTCTCAGATTGGTGTTTGAAGGCCTACCAGTAGCCTTGCTCTCCTGCGATGGTATGCTCATGCAAAGATCATAAGCACTGGTGGAAGAGACCCATCGACTTGTGCAGGACATAGGTTCTAGGTAATGCTGTCCCAAACAAACACATTGACTGTATCAAAGGCCATCTATCTATCATAAAAGATCCTACCATTGGCCAATGTGATAGGGGCCAAGTTCCCTTAGCAGGGTCCTCCCAGTCAAGTTCCCGCCCTAGGGCCTCAGGCTTGTTTATCAGCTCATAATATGAGCTATTGCCTCGTCAGTTGAGCATGTCCTAACCATGTTGGGTTGAACCGTGCCAGTATTATGTCCAAAATGAATGACAAATACAAACATCAAGAAAAAGTAGCTACTTCAAATTATAAGGAATTATTCTACACCAAGAAGTGAGGCTACAGTCGTAGAAGCCTCAGCAGCTGTCCTACAGAACCTACCAAGTTCAGTATTTTCTTCTTTTTTGACAGTATAAGAAGAGATTATTGAAGCACCATGTCTCAAAATTATCTACCTTAATGTCTTCATGACCAAAGTGCAAAGAGTAGCTTCAGTACCAAGGTAATGATAGAAAGTAAACGATCAAAGGTCAAGCACAGCGACATAATCTCACTCCAACGCGGACATGAGATGTTTCACCTACTTATTCGAACTCAATTTCTTTATGATTGGCATCACGGTAGCAAAATTAAGAAATACATGCAAGTCAAATACGTACAAAAGGAGATGTTAAAGTGGAAAGATTGAGAACCTTGTAATCGAGTGGAAATATCCCTCGATTGAGAGTACCGAGCGAACACCGAGCTTCTGCCCGATCGACCATCGAACTTCCTCAACCGCACCGACCTAGTCATCGCAGGAAGCTGCAGGCCGAGAGTCAAAACCAAGTCGAATCAAAACAAACAAGACCACCGAATCAAACGATTCTGGGGGAGGAAAAGGGGAAACCAATCGAACAAAGGCAGAGGCGGAACAAGGACCTGAGATTGGTGGAAGAGGAGGAGGGGGAATCGAGCGTTGGTCGCGCTCCTGATCGAGGGGATCACCATGGCCGACCCCCGAGGAAGCGCCCGCGTGTGGCTCGTTTCCCCGGACGATTATTGTTAACACTGGAGAGCAGCGAGGTTCGCCTCGGTGAGTTCCGCTCGTAGGGGTCACATCTCGGGAGGTGTGCGGGGGGAGCGCACCACGTGTCGCGCTGCGGGCCTTGTGCAGGGGGTTTTGTGGCGACCGGATAAATGACCTCACCATGACTAGTTGGCGTTCTGGGATTGGCTAACAGTGACACATTTACATATCTTTTATGTGTTGTAATAGAGTATTTACCGTTTTAGTCTGCTAAACTTAATTTACAGGTAAGTTCCAGTTTTTACCCTTATATGTATGCTAAACTTAATTTTAACCACTTTTATTTTATGGACATATATGGGTAGTGTTATTCTTTTTGGTAGTATAATAGTTTACAGTTCCTACCTTTTCTTTAAGGAAGTGAATAAAGAAAACACGTCTTACATTATTATGTTTCTTAGTTATTGATAATAAATATATACTTTTATCACTTAATCTTTTTTACAAAAAATAATTTATAAAAATTATTTAAAATTATTGATGAAAATAAAAGAGCTACCATGATGTGATTGTTGTAAGAAACATAATAATGTAAAATATGATGATCGAATATTCACATAATGATTTCCTAAACAACTCAGATGGATTGGGGAAACTACATTTTACAGATGATAATTTCTGAAATTAGCCATTACAATCCCTAGAGAATAGTGGCTTACCATCGCAATAAGTTATGACAAATAATAAGAAAAACTTATCCAAATAACAAATTTCGCAAAACATTGTGCAGCTGAAATCATTCCATGCGTTTAATTTTCAATATAATTAATGCTTTTATTAGAAATTTGAAAACCAAGTATTGTTCACCTCATTTAACTTTTTTTAACGAACATAAATTTATAAGAAGGTGCAATGAATCATGGATGCTTGAGTGAAGAATATGGTCCTTTTCGTAGATTTTTAATGGATACACATCCATTGTCCCTGGTCAGCACCTATCAAATTTATGTCCTAATTTGTAACTCTTCACACCAAGGATGGGAAAGACAAATTGGTGTTGGATTCCATAAGCAATTCAGCATGCTGAAGTGGTCACAGGAATAGGAATAGCTTTGAAGACAAGAATGATGCACGATAGTTCATTGGGTTGACTCGGACCCACTCTAATTCCAATACAGGTGATTTAACATGTCAATATAACATTATTATTCGATGTAATATTTAATTAATTTAATTTATACTATATGATATTTGATGATTTGAAAGCATAGTTATAATTTTTGAATCTGATAACAATGAGGCACGTAATTTTGATCTTGATTTATAGTTGTTAGAATTCGATTTGGTTCATGCCATATAACATTTGATGATTCTCATCTTATTATAGGCACGTAAAGTTTAGTATAATCGAGTTTGCGAGGCGGTGTGACTCGACTCGGGTGGCATTCGAATCTGTCGAACCTTTGGGATTAGATACATTATTAAGAATTATTATAACAGATTCGAGGCTTGATTTGATCTAAGCCATCCCAATTCATCTAAACCATTCGACTTAATTGGAATAGGATAAGAGTGATCTCGATTTCTTCGAACCGTCCTGACTCGAACGACATTGAGATAGGCGTCACTGAGTCGGCTCATTTAACTGAGTCGCTGCGCGTCTCATGAACCTTCTTCTTTTTCCGAGTGGAGCCGGCGGTGGGTCCCGCAGGAGCAACGCGTGGTCACAAGACTCGCAGGTGAAAACGATTTAAGGTGTCGATTAGATGGCCCAGGAAAATTTAATTTATTTTTTGTTATTTAAATTAATTATATTTATTGTTGGGATAAAATAAAAAAAAAAGAATATATAAACGGTCTACTTTTAACCGGCGAGTGACCTGAAATTACAATATTGGATAAAGCCTGTATATATACGGGGATGGGAGCGGAGAAGAGGAGGGGGGGGTGGGGAGGGAGAGCAATCCGTTTGGGGCTTCTTGAACGTGGAATTTATGCTGATTTCATGCGTGAGTGAATGGGAATTTTAGCTCGAGAGGCAATCGCTAATGCCTCCGATCGTAAGGTCGGTGGATTCGTCTCGATCTTGGAACTATCCGACCATGTTTTGCCTCATCTTCTTGGGATTGTTGGAGTGAGATGGTGGATACGGCGTTGGCCAAGGGGGAAATGAATGCGTGTCTTACTCTTGTTTTGATCGATTATTCTTCTTCTTTTCACATCATTTTTCCTCTTTCTTGTTCCCCCTTTTGATCTTATGTTGTGTAACAAGGCGTTTAATTTCTGTTTCAATCCTTTGCCTTTCTTGGATGGGATCATAAAGTTGGGGATGACCTATTTTTGTCCCTAATTTGTTGTGTGTGATTGATGATGTTTTTTTTTTTTTTTTTGTGCGTGTGTGTTTATTTTTCTGTTTTATTTATAAATAAGCCAAATTGGTAAACTAAGTCTTTATTTACTTTGCATTTCGATCTTTTATTGTGGGATGATGGTTGTCGATCATTTCTCGAGGATTTGTTGTACTTAGTGCTGTGTTCCCACCTTCTTCATCCCCTCCCCCCCTTTTTTTACCCCCTTTCGATCTATTGGAGATGCAGAAAGTAATTTGTTATGGTTTTGGTTACTAAGGTGAAGAAAAACATGGGAAAAGGGTTCCTGTGGCACTCTTCATCGAATGCATTCCTTTTTTATTTCCCAAATATTCTTCACTTAACCTAAATTAACAATCTTGATTCTGTTATACGCGTATCATATATTTCGACTGTTATAAATTTTCTGCATTGATTGCTCTTCCAGAAACAGTCTTGAAGTTGTTTTCTCATCTGCTATGCTTTTCTCTTTCAGGATCTTGATTGTCTTTTTTGATACCTTCCAATCAGCAACACCTTTCTGCTGAGTTAGAGTTGAATGCTCATCCCCCTACCGATTCCTTTCGATAGCTGAGTATTCTCTCCCGGTTGTTGCTACCAGTCCTACATGGATTTCATTGTTGGTAAATTTAGGGCCATGGTATTGGAGTGTGCTAAATTGTTGATTTTAAGGCATCACATGTACCATAATTCACCTACACCTGACTAGTCGCAGTGGAAGTGTAGATTAGTATTTGGCTTTGCGTCATATTGCTCATAAGCTTTATAGGACTGGATAATGTGGGTGTGGAATTAGACTTGTTAGGGAAGCTCATGAGGAAATTAATTCCTCTGATTAGTTATGCAGAAGTACTATTATGTGGCTGGATGAATAGGCATGTTCCTTGAGGGTGATAACACTGAGTCAGCAGCCAGCATTTAGAGGAAACAATAAGAGAAGGTAAAGAAGAGTCAAGTTTAGGCACCTGTACGTTGCAACAATGGGTTTTCCTCAGGTACTGCCAGAAGAAGATGATGAAGAAGCAAGATCACCAAGCACATTCGTGTCATCTCTGCCTCGATGTTACGGTGTTAGCAGCTGCGACTTGGATGGGTTTCATGCAGGAAGCACAAATTGTAACAGCGCAGGAGATTTTTCATATTCACCTATCTGTGATTTTCAGAGAAAATCCACCTTGGAAAACTCAGAAGAAATGGATTGGCTATTGGAACATAGAAATTCCAATGGTGCAGCTGTAGAGCTTCAAGGTCTGAAGTTTGACACCAATAGTGCAAATGACAAGTTGACACCTAAGTTCTGTCACAGCATTCAGAAGCCTCTAGTTAGGGTTGTTGGTTTCGGATCAGGCCAGCTGGGTTCCTCTGTTAATGGTTTTAATAATGTACTAGTAGAACAAATTAATTCTTCTATGGCCCTTGACAAGTCTAATTTATCAAATGATTCCCATGGGCTGCAACCACGGAAACGTTTGTTGTCTCCTCTGAACAGTACACTCAGGAAGCAGTTCCATGGTGATTTGCTAGACATCAATTCTGTTAATACTCAGCTCGATTTCTGTGGCTTGAGTGGAAATCATAGTCTGTTCTCTTCACATGATCATAAGAAACCGAATGTTGGAGTAGTTGAAAAAAATCCAGACTGGCCTCTTTCAAAATGCTCAAATCTGCACAGTTTATCAGATGCCAATGTATTGACTTTTGATGCTTTAAGTGATGGGCCTGTTTTTGATAACAAGGATCGTTCTCATTCTCGTTGTTTATCTGTAGGAGGGCTTAATCAAAACAATAAGCTAAGACCTTTTGCTGGAACAATAGTCGTATCTCCAGAGAAGGTACTCTCAACACCTTTTTCGTTGTCCCCTCTCGGTCCTAGATGGTCTAGAGGAATGAAAAATCCAGGAGTCCAGAGGAACATCCTGAAGGATATTGAAAGTGACTTTTCAGTTCTGAAGGGCATTGAAGGTTCAAATGGTGGAAGCAGAACTGAAATAATGTTCTTGCCTGAAGATGTTGATTTCAGGGCATCAAGTACATTTGAAGAACCTAGCATTTTACATGATGAGATGGATACATTTACAGCTTTTGGTAGAGGCCATAAGGGCTGGAATGGTGGTCCTAAGTCTGTTCCTGCACCTCATTGCATGAATCATATAAGAGGCTCAAGCATGGTGCCTGTGAGGAGGTCATTAGTTGGTTCCTTCGAAGAATCTCTCATATCTGGTCGATTCTCATCTGGGAAGGTCTGTCAGGTATGAGATCAGATCTTTGTTTCATTCACCTTGATGTCTAATTGATTTCAACTTTCTATGATGGCAATATACAAGAAATTGTATTTAACCTGTCTGGTTCTTGCTTCCAATTGTTTGCAGAGCTTTAATGGTTTTCTGGCTGTACTAAACATCACTGGTGGTAATTTTTCACCACCATCTCAGAAACTTCCTTTCTCTGTGATGAGTGTTGATAATGATAGCTCACTGTTGTACTATGCATCAATTGATCTTGCTGGAGCCTTGCCTTCTAGTAAGTGTAGAGGCCCAAAATTAACAAGAAGCCTGAGCAACGATTCTGGAGTAGCTAAAAGTCGGTTGCGCATTCCTATGAAAGGACGCATACAACTGGTATTTGGTTTCTTGGCCTTCAAAATTTTGTTGTTTCTCAAGTAAGTTAGGATTGTTGATTTTGTTATGATATGACAACTGATGGTACTTGTCTTTAAGTACAACATATTTACTTACCAGTGTGAACAGCGTGTTATTGGAGTTATTAGTGCTAATCATGGTTAAGTTTGTAAAAGTAAACTTGTTCAAATTCGAGATGTTCATGTAACAAAGAAAAGATGTATGTACTTCAGGGGAATTCTTGCCTGTAGATGCTTGCAAAAGACAAGCGGGACTTTCTTTTTAGCTTTAGAAGCGTCTTGGCTGCATTTAGGTATCAATATAGACCAGTTGGGATCTTTCCTGTCAGCCACACTTGATTTTCATCTAAAAATCTGAATGTGTTGCAATTTGCTAGTCACTTCTCTCTCTAAGATTTTTTTTCCCTCACTTATCAATTCAGATAAACTGTGTTATGTTCTTTTTCTTCTTTCACTTTCATAACTAGCAAGAACTTTCTAGGTAAATATGTTATCTTACATTTTGCATAGGTTAATGTTGAGGTTGTTGATTTTATGTTTTTTCCTTACATATATGTTCTTTTGTTCTATCATTTTGATAACTAGCAACGACATTCTAGGTAAAAACGACTAGCAATAGGATGGAAGACCAATCATCATCTGTCTGAAAGGGAATAAGTACAATTTGGTGGCATAATCTATGTTATACACCTTAGAAGATAATAGTGGATGATTTGTTGGAATCCCTAATAAACAACAGAACCATTTCAGAAATTTTATAACTAGAGATATTGTAATAGGGCAAGGATTGCCACTTGCTCAAGTTGTCATTTACATAGTGCCATGCTAACATATTCACTTACGTGCTTAAGTATGTTTAGCATTCCTTTTTCATGTTAATGATGCATTACCCTGTTTCGTGTTAATATTTTTGGTCATGGACTTCCGATAGCTGATGTTTCTGAAATTTCTTTAGGCTACCTCTTTGCCGTTTTAACAGTCATGTACCTGTATCCAGCCATAATTAATACAGATTATCTAATATGCATTTACATAATTTTATGTATCTACTTGATGAATCTCTTTTGTTGGTTTTGATAGGTCCTTAGCAATCCTGAGATGACCCCTCTCCACACTTTTTTCTGCAACTATGATTTGAGTGACATGCCTCCAGGAACAAAGGTATGGGTATTTCACTGCTTAGTGTATGTGCTCCTTGTTTACATTTGTTATGCTATAAGATGACATATAAGCAACATCATTCTGCTAGTTATGGACCAATTTGTTTATTTTGTTGCGGTCTAGTTCCTTCAATTGTTTATTTGCTATTAGTATTTCATGGATATAAACAAGATAATATGTGTATCAAACTGTGTGATTAACAAGGTGACAGAGGGGATTGTAAAAAGAATAAAAAAACAATAAATAACATTTTAGATGTACTTGTGTCAAAATTATGTTTATGTTCTTCTAACTTTGTTATATTCTTTGACAACCCTGAAATCTTTCAGAAGCTGGTCCTCGAAATCACAGTGGCATCTTTCTAGTACAAATATGTGGACTGAATTTTGTAGATTTGAGGAATGTAAACTTAGATTTTGAAACTAGAAGGGTGCAACTGTAGTTTTGACATAAATGTGAGGAGTTTTGTTAGTCTACCGATGATAATATGATATTTATGTTGTGACTTGTAAGACTTAAAAATATCTGACAGCAAAGTTCATGAGAAGCATGCGAATTATGAAGAAAATTACTTGTATCCATTCTTATGTCACTTAATATGGAATGGTGTTATGAGTGAGCCTGATTTCTTTCATTTGGGGAAATGCAGAGACACCTTCAACAATCAACATAGCTTCTCAGGGTGGCTGAGTCCATGTAGCACTGGTAGCTACGCATACACAGAAATGGTTATATTTTAGTTCTTATCTCAAGTATAAAAAAGCATAGGAAGTAGTTATTTGTCATGTGTCTTTTAGGAGCTTAACCAGAGTTTTCAGCACCTTTCACTTTTTCTCTTCTACAATGCAACATTGAATTTCTTAATTTTATCCAGTCTGTTTGTTTAGCTGAGATTTTAGTAAATAACAAGAAACTCTCAGGACACTGCTGGTTCCCAGTTTTCATGGATAACACATACCAACTTTAGAAGTATGGGAAATTGTGAACCTTGAAATGTGCATATTTATTGCAATTTCAAGATGTCTTTTCTTGGAATATGCTTATTTCTATAGTGAAACTGTTCATTTCATATCAACAGTCAATACTTCACTTTTTCTTCTTTTCCTTTTTCTTCTGACGGATGTTGATGCTTCTTTTTTTTTTTTCCTGTTTTGGTGCAATGACCACAATATTTTAGAACCTAAAACAACAAGATAACAGTGAATCCCAGCTAGTTGGCATAAACTACATGATTAATTTTCCATTTATGTTGCATGGGAGGTATATATGCATGTTTATTTCCTGTCTATGTTGCAATATGTGATAGGTAGAATGAATTGTCAAAATTTTGTTATGGGAAACATGCACATAGCTAGTTAGTTTGGAGAGCCACATGGAGGATGTGATGGGATCATGCTTATCTTTATTTATCGTGTTCGTTGAAAGCTTCAGCTGAACTACAGTTGTCTTATACCGATTTTAAAACAATGGTAATACATATTTGTTCTATTGACATAAATTGAAGCAGACATTCTTACGTCAGAAGGCCACTCTTGCTTCTTATGAATCCTCAACTAATCTGGCAAAAGGAACCGACAACCATAACATTGAAGCAGCTTGTATTACTATGGCAAAGTCCAGTGAAACTGGCCATGGAGAGTGTTATGGCAAGTCTGCTTATTAAAGTTTAATTTGTCTATTCCATGATATCCATAGTTTGAGAAATTGATCACTAACTAAGAATGATGTTTGTCATGCTTTCAGGTTGTGTGCGTAATGATGAAACTCAACACTGTGAATCAGCTACTAAATCACGAAGCACAAAGGAGAGAAGCTCAGAGTTGTTCTCAACTGAGGACTTCCATGGATTACCAAATAGATTTAATTATGTCATGGACTCTAGAGATAACAGTGGGCTCAACAAGAGTAACCGATATAAGAAAATTGAAGAGGGTACCTGTTGTCAGATAGATATGTGCCGTTTAGCTAGCACAAAATCTGTTCATAGCTCTTTGAAGGTCAATGATAATACATCTGGTGCTCTCCGTTACGCACTTCATCTGCGCTTTCTGTGCCTCTCCACTAGAAAATCATCCAAGTCACTACAGAGATGCAAATCTGACCCTGATTCGGTCCCCATAACAAACAATATAGAAACTATGGGAGGGCGTCGATTCTATTTGTATAATGATCTCAGGGTTGTGTTTCCTCAACGGCACTCAGATACAGATGAGGGCAAGGTATGAAGTATGAACTGAAAAAAAAGTCATGTACATACTGCAATTTTGTTTTTGGTTAACATTGTTAATGTCGTTGGTTTCTTTACATTGTCTTTATGCTATCTTAGACAGTAGAGAAAACTTGTCTTGTGCATAAATCACATAATCCTCGTAATTGATAATCCTGTTCGTTCCTTTTCCTTTAAATTGATAAACAAGCAATGAATTTCAGACTGGACAATTTTCTTCCATGACATATTTACCATCAGATGAACCTCCCATAAAGTTGAATCCTGCATGACTTGATGATCTGCCATAACATTTACATATAGTTGGAATGCATCTGATGAGCTTGTTGGACTGGGTTTACACATTTCATGTTGCTGCTGAAAATAGGTAGTGAGTTTTCAGTCGACAGATTCTTGTTTTATAAGATAGTTTAACGTCATATAATGAGAGTGCAATCAGCATGATTGGATTGTTTGGTTTCGTTCTTATTGTTTTCTCTCTCTCTCTCTCTCTCTCTCTCTCTCTCTCTCTCTCTCTTTTGAATTTGCACTTGACACTCCTGATCATAGTTTGGAGGATATGCATTTCATTTTTCTTCTCAAATAAAAAAAGTTGAGCACTGTGATGTGAGATCTTCCACATCAAGTGATGGAGGATATACATTTCATTTTTCTTTAGGTCTTCAGTTTTTTTTTTCATTTGCATTTTTACCTGTTATAAGGGTTGTGATTAAAACTTCAATGGGAAGAATCAAGAATGTTGGTTCTTTAGTAGTAGTGTATCTACTGTCAGTTTTTGTGCGAAGTTGACTAGGCCAATGCAGCATGTCGTTGCTTGAAGTTATCCTTGGTGAGTTGTTATGAGAGCGACTAGTGAGCTGAGTGGAGCAAGGTAGGCGGATGAGTGATGTTCTTGAAATTCTTGCAAGGGCTATTATTCAGGATTTTTATGATGTTGGAGTCAACATCTGATGTTCTTGAAGTGGTTGCAAGGACCACTATAAGGGGTCTCTATGACTGCATTTCCTGTGATTTCTATGTTTTGTGGCAGATCTCTGCTTGTTTGTCCTCATGATTAGACCAAAGTGGTATAGCCCAAACATCTTTAAAATTCAAACATCTCTAGCTTCTTGAAACTCTAGAATCGGACATCTTTAATAAATTGTGATACTTTATTAGTTGGTTGGTTGTCATCCGATGCTTTTTTTGCATCTGTTTTACCGACTTAAGTTACAGGCATAACTTTAAGCAGTGGGAAACGCTGTATTTCCTCTAGATTTGGTCTCTAAACTGTGTTCACTGATGATATGACTTGTTATAGTTGCGGGTGGAGCACCACTTTCCAGCAGATCCAAAGTACTTCGACTTGAGCAATTGACAAAGCTTCTTGTTTGCCTCCTCGGGCATTCCCTGGCAAACAAACTGTACATACCACTGACCACCTCAGTCACCTCATCCCCCCATGTTGTACAGAATTTTCTTTCTTTGATGAATAAAATTGTACGTAGATCTTCTCCGGTCCTGCTGTGTTGTGTTGGCCGATGATTTGTTTTGGCAACTGCTTGTAACACTGGAGATGGGTGTAGGTAGACTGCACAGTTCACCTTCAGCGTGCTGCTCGAGTCCTGGTGACGTCAATTTTGATTCCCTTGTGTAATCGAGGAGACATTGTGGCAGTTGATCCACTGTCCTCAGTGATGAGTTTTGCACTATGGTGTTCATTTGGATCTGATGGAGCGTCCATCAGAATTGAAAGTGATCCTTCTATATTGAGAGTGAAAAATGGATCGTGCTCGATGATGAGGTTTTGACTATGGTGTTCACTTGATCTGATGGAGTGTTCATGATCTTATGGTAAGGTTGTTGAATATATTGATGGACTGATATTGAGAGTGAAAAATGAAGAGAATAAAGTAGATTGTCTTGATGATTAGGGTTACTAACAATCAATCCAAGTCTCGAGGTACAAGGGAACGAGGGATGGGCTGATATGTATCGCTATAATACACTGTTGCATTCTCCAAGAGAATGCTCGATCCTAAGTTTTCAAGGGTACGATAACCAAGAGAGTGATCTCCATCGGATATTTTGTTTAAAGGGTTTGATAATCAGGAATCGAGGCAGGCATCTTATTTTGTTGATATGATGAGCAATGACATCTTTGGATTAGATACGGGTCTGATGATATTTGTACCATGAATTTTTGCGGTATGGATGAACTGATAATTTATTATTATTATTTTTTTGTCGGGGGCCGGGGGTGGGGGGGTTTAAATTGTCACACGGAAGGCTCACATCGAATCCCAAATCCATGGGGATGTTATGCGACTCGCGAGAGCTTGTGAAGTTGTCCCCTCAGCGAATCGTTCAAAAAGACCCGATTGACAAAAAGGAAATCATATCATCAAAACCCTTAATCATGAAGGGAAGTAAGAAACACTTTATTTTAACAACATACTGATTCGATCAACCATATCGATATATCGAAACAAAGCCAAACATTCCTTGCAAATGGGTTTGCAGTGCGAATAGAGGAGCCCACATCCTAACATTCCTTGCACCCTTTAATTTTTGTTAATTTGAAATATAGTCAAATGACCTAAACTCAACATTTAGTTAGGAAGCTAATTACAAATTGAAGCCAGTAAGTCTCAGTTACAAATTTAACTTTTTAGCACTCTCTCAATTGACTCCACATATTTGATTCTGCACAACAGTTAAAGAACATGGCACCAACACAAAGCCTCCTCCCACCATGACTTACAAGAATCAAAATACAATGGCCAAAAGTGATTCAAGCGGAAGCCTACCTCGTAACATATATATATATATATATATATATATATATATATATATATATATATATGTATTTTCAGTAGGTTGCACTCCTCTTTGGCTGTACACCTGTACCCATGTCTGTTGAAATCAAAACACATTCATCCATCTACCTACAGGGACTGGGAAGAACCATTGATAAGATGAGAAATCAAACTCAATCAAAGAACACTATGGACTGCATGTTAACAGGAAACAAACCCTCGTCAATTTTCTTTTTTTCACTCAATAAAGAAAAACTAGGATTAATCGCACATTAAGAAAAGGAGATGCTTGTAAAGGAAAATTATGACTGCAGAAATGAAGTTGCAACCAAGAATGGAAAACTTACCAGGGCAGGTCACATACTAACGATTGCCCTTCTGCATCTTGAATCTTGAAACTGGCTTCGAAGAACTTGAAACAGAGGCCTACAAACATGATTATTTAATTAAATTTTAGGATGGACTATGCGTATCAATGACCAAGTATTTATGAAATCAACATCTCCGCAAATGACATAAAGAGGCAGGATATGGTGGTATAAAACTGAGCTAGGAGATGATGGTATGAGTGCAAAAAGTTCCTATAGTAAATGGTTGTGACATCATGCATTATTTCCCCAGGTTAAACCATTTTTTTATGGAAGAGAGATACCAAATTATGGGCTATGCCATTATTATAATATATATATTTTTCCTATCGGACAAAACTTGTGTGCAGATAGCTTGCATCATCAAGGATCTCAAAAACAGTCTAGAGATAGAATTTTCCATTTATGAAAAATAAATACTTTAAGCTGCTTGTATCTGATACAGAGGCATGGTGACAAAGTTTGGATACTATATTACCATATATTTCCAGTTCAAGGTGTTTTATGCATCCATCAGGCTTTTAAAATAAAGATCCATGCCTCAACTTGTAGACAACAGGACGTACCACCCATCTGTTTTTATTGGAAAGAAGCCAAACCCGTGTTGGCAACAGAATTCATTACTTGCAACTTGGACACTTCCTCAATTTTTTTATTTTCAAAAAAAGTATTAACAAGACCAGGATTTTGTGGATACTTGGACAAATTTTATTTTTCTTAAATGTTAATCTCTTTATCATGGGCGAAATGGATAAATGGTTCTAATGGACATATGATTTTTATAGTTATTCTTTTGTGTCATTTGTTCAGGACATCATACTATAACCAATCAAATATTTTTCAGTGTCTTATCTGTACCACATTTGTCTTATTTCTTTCAGTAATTGACTAAACATACGTGAATTATGCAATATAACTATCATATACCTGTAACCTTTCAGTGAAAAAAATGTTGCATCAACATACCTGGCCCAGGTTACTTTTAGCTGACTGGATGGGTGGAAGACCAAGATCATGCTCGATGATAGAGCCCGTGAAAGCCTGCATATGGAAAATCAGAGCACCAAATAAAAGATCATAGAAATGAGTGATGAACAGCCACGGCATATGGTGGATAAGTAACAGACTTTATGACCACTTGAGACCCGATCAGAAATTTGTCTTGAAGTACTGTTGGAAGAATCCTGCAAAGATTCTCAGCGATCAGTCATCAAATTCCCTATGAGCTGATAAGTATATATATACATACAAAAAACTAATATTTCCTATTGCTACACAAAATATCTTGTAGTTGCAAGCACTATGACATAGAACTTAAGTGAAGGGGTCATAACAGACCTCACCAAAAAATCATGGATTAGTGGAATAAATCAATTTCACCATTGAATATGGTTTTCGCATTTAATCTACAATAAGATAATAGATAATAAAGCAAGAGTTGCTACTAGAATCATACCTCAATCTTTGAGAAAGAGAACTTCGCATCAGATGAAGATGATCTAGACACCTCTTTGCTGATAGACTGTCCACTGTTGCTAAAAGAATGAGCTGGATAAACAGATAAAACACTAGAGAATAAGGATCCAATCTCATTCTCTCCTCACTATTTGCATATAAGAAAATGAAAGTCTTGTAGAAATCATATAGTTAGGAAATATGTGAGACACTAGATCAAATCTGGTTCAACCATAGATTGAGTTTAACAAATTTCATTTTCAGACACGCTAACCACTTAGAAACAGCTTTCTAAGCATTTTTGCAAGCATACATGTCAAGCCATAAAATAATCAAAGAAAAAATTCATGGCATATCTTTGTTAATAACTTAATATATACAGAAAATTGTCATTTGTCAGATATATTATTCATCTATCTGTACTTTAAGCTTTACCAAGTTGACCACAACTGACTGGGTCATGCACAGGTGCAACTTCTTCACTTAATAAGCTAATAGCAAGCCACAGGATTAGACTGACTAGAAGTTTTAGATTCTACTTGCAACAATATTTTAACAAAGCTTTAGACTCAATTTGCAACAAAGGAATAACTATAAGTTTCTACTTTCTTTACATGGTGAAATACTCAAATGTCGACAAACAGAGTTACAACATATGATGTCTTTGAAACTATACTCAATACTTATAATGAGAAATTTTATGTGATGGTGGAATTAAAATTGCGATTTGAACATAAAAGGACTATGCAAAAGAAGTAAATAATAGTAGCCGGTTAGATCATCTTACCACAATGGCTGTGTATAAACTAATAACAAAAATAACAATCCATGGCATGTACATAATGTTAAAAAACTTACCTACAGCTGGAAATTGCATTTTTGAATCCCCACTCTGCAGTGAAGAAAAATAAATCCAATTATAAAAAAAAAATGTGCATATACACAGTTAAATATATACAGTGTTTGCTCACAAATGGTTGGTCGGTCAGTGGTTGTTCAGTGATGCCTCCAATCTGTTTGGAAACAATTGAGCCTAACATTTCTTGACCTTGACCTCTAGCTTTCTGTACTGGATGTTCTGACTTGTGTTTTATCTGTAACCAGACAATAAAGTATAGCTAACCACTTTGAATTCAAGTCTTAAATGAATTATTTTATTATTTCAGATCACCTCCAAAATCTCATGTTTAAGATCTGATGTGGAGAAACTAGAACTGGACTCAGCATCCTCATCTTCATCTCCAGTTTCATCATCCTCAACTTCATCACCAGCCAAGTTCTCCTCATTATCATCATCTGAAGTACTTCCATCTTCTAGTTCTTCCTTTTCAAGTTCATCTAGCCTTGCCATAATTCGAGCATATTCCTCATCTTCATCAGGCATTTGCATATCATCTCTTTTGGAGTCTAAAGAATCTGAATTTGCCAGACCTTGAATATTAGACAATGCTGAGGTTTCAACAAAAACCTATATATATGAAACCTTGCAAGAGCAGATATTTATTTTCTATGCAGCACATAAGGTTAAAAGTCCAGAATGAGTTACAAAAAAAAAAGAAAAAAAAAGAGCTGCTAAAACTTCAGATATTTTACTGATAAAGCAACAATTAATATAATATCAAAATGTACTTACATCTAAGAATAGATCTAAAAATGCTACATTTATCATCTTCCATAAGTATAGATAACCAATGATTGACGTTTCACCCGGACCGGTATGCGGTAAGTACCAGTTTGGATGTGAAGCGGTACATGGACCGCTCTCGATCCGGTCCACCCATATAAAAGGGAAATTATTGTAACTCTAACCCTAATCTTCTCGTGTGTGTCACTTCCCATGTACACCACACCACACACCTCCACCTCCATGCACAATGCCACACACCTCCTCCGCGACAACCTTGCCGCACACCTCCACCACGCACACGGGTCTGCCTTGTCTCCTCTTCCTCCTCTCCTTCTTTGCGTCTTCCTCGCTCTTGAGCTTCTTCCTCCTCCCTCCTGCACTTCTTCCTCTTCTTGTTCCTTTCTCCTCCTCTTCCTCCACCGTTCCTCCCTCTTTTTGTTCTTTTTTTTCCTCTCCAAAACATCAGTATGTACTAGTGTACCAACACATAATACATCGGTATTGACCAGGATACCGGTCTGACCATATCACCGAAACAGGTCTGATACCTGAAACCACAATCCTTATAGATAACATGAATGGAACATGGGAATACAATGCTTCCTTCCCTTTTTTTCTGTGGAAGAAAGATGTCCATATATGTCAATTTAACATCCAAGAATTTATGATAGCAAATAAGAGTTGTTTGGCCCAATTCCCTCCAAATAATAGGCATAAAGCTAGTCCTCTGCTCATGTAAGTTATGCCGTTTACTTAGAAGTAAAAGCCGAACAATGATCTTCAAAATTAAATGTCACCTAGAAACATAAGGGATAGTGAAATGATGAAAAGCACATGATCCATACTATGTAACATAAAAATTCAGTCAAATGGGCCAATAAAGGATGCTTAGTAATTCATTTGAACATTCAGACTCAAGTTCTAGACCAAAATAATTCAATCTGGACCCAAGATGAACCTTGCTGTATGCAGCATCTACTTATTTTAAGAGCCTCATAAATATCTGATTGCCAATCTTTATACAGCAACTTCCATACTTACATGTGAAGTCTTCCCAGTCCCATTATTCCCATTTCCAACGTCATCTACTTATCAACAAGTCATAGAGTAAATATCCACATTTGTATCCCTCCAACAAAGCAACTGAACTCAAACCAACTGAACTTTAATTTTCCCAAACCTTAGTCTTTCTCATTGCTCCAAATCAGCTGTTACCCACCACAAACATCATTTGACCCAACTTTCTAAACCTTTCTACCTAATTTACACCTACATATCAATTTGGAATATCATATCTGCAACTCCTACAAGGCTAGAACACATGACAGAAGGTCAGAAGGTTCCATGCAAATGAGTTCCAAATGAATTAGTTCTTCATTAATTTTTTCCTTTTCCTTGCTATGAAAATACATATTATGATTGTTTGACAAACTGGGAAGACTGGTACATGGTGCCTAGCACATGCTAGTTCGTATGTGGAATGAAACTAGGCTTTACCTCCAGTATGCCCCGTGAACCAGGCTTACTACCCAGTTCTTTTCTTTGCTAATAAAAACCCTAAAAATTATCCCACTTCCAGCCCAGTCTTCTGTCTAAGGAGAAGACCATGGCATTTTATTTATTTATTTTTCATTATAAAAAAAAATCAAAGTGGAATTGAAATTCCCAAAATAAGTGTGAATCATCCAGACTAAGCAGAAGCCCATCAGTTAATTAATGCTGTCCATATTTCATGATTGAAAAATTCAAGTTTAAGTGGAATAAGTAGTCAGTTAATTTTACTCAAATGAGAATTAGAAAAAATGTGCTGTCTTGTTACAGTTTTATGTTCTCTGTGCTGTCATCCAATGGGTGATGGGGTAGAAGATGAAAATGGAGCTTGGTACCTGATCCAGGAGCCTTCTTCTCAGATTCTTCAACATATTCCTCTCTTATCTCTACAAGTCCCTCCTGTAAAAGGGGGAAAAAATGAAAATATAAGTATCCAAAGTAAAACCAAATCTATCACGACTCAGTAGCTTCAGCATCTTTATTTTCTAAACAGCCTATACTATCCCTTAAACTTCATGACTTCAGACAAACCGTAATCACATAACGGACAGAATACTATTGGAGAAAGGGTTACAAGTGAAAAGAAGAAACCTTCATCCAGTAAACAAAAACTATCAATCAGCAAGTACTTACAGCAGCCTCTGCGGCTGTGGAATCGAAGAACTTGGCCTCGGCCTCAAGATCCACCATCGTAGCCTTCAAAGACTCCACCTGACCTTCCAATGCCTTCCCCCTCCGCTGTAAAATCTCCATCGTCTGCTTTGCCGTCCGCTCTGCATAATACCCCTCTCCTAATAACACCTAAAACCACGAAATCAACCCCCGTGCGACAGATATTGTTCGCAAATGAGAAGAACAAAGATTATACCAGAAACTCGTTGGTATGTACGAGGCGACCCGGGAAGAACGCCGCACTCCCAAAAGGGACCTATGGATGAATCCGGCCTCAAAATCAAGGGCGGTGATGATGGAAGTATGAGAAGAGGAGGAGGAAGAGCGGGATTCTTACCATGATATCGTGGGAGAGTTCCTCGGGGAGGGTGCGGACGAGATTGATGAGGGAGGAGTTGTCGGAGACGAAGCCCTGGACGCGGAGGAGCTCGTTCCGGCGGTCGGCGATGGCTTCCTCCACCCGCCGCGCCGCCTTCTGCGCCTCATCGGGTGGGAAGAGGGTTTCGAGGGAGGTGATCGTTCCCCGCGCGGCGGCTTCCATCGAGACGAACAGAACGCCGAAGAATCGCGATAGTAATGAATACCTTTGGGCCTCGCAGGGGGTTTATCCGATTATTACACCGGCGACCAATAATTGACAGCGCTAATTATAAAGAAAATTAAATGTGAATTTACATATTGATCATTGCAACTTTTTAATTATACAGTTGAAACTTATTATATATATATATAATCATAATTAATAATAATATATTTAAGGGTGATTCTCCAACAGTCTCTTTTTATTTTTTATTTTCCCCCCAAAGATATCCCTCTTTTAGGATTTTTCGAATGGTATCCTTTTAATTGGAACGATACTCAAATATATCCCTCACAAATCCAGTGATATTTTTTTCGTCAATTTTTTCATCAGTTTAGATTGTTATAATATTTTTATTTAACTCATTTATAATGTTAATATTATTGATGTGCTAAAAATACTGTAGACACGTCTCTTTTAACTGTTATTTAATTATTATTACTCATAGATCGTTATGATATTATATTTTTAATATGTAATTAGTTTGGTTGAGGTTATTAGATTATTTGAATCATCTACAATGTTCTCAGGTGTTTTTTGTTGTTGTTTCTTAATAAAATTTTTAAAAAAAGGAAACATACATTTTAAGTTTATTTTAAATTATGTTAACACCTTGCTAGTTTATTACAAAATCAATAAAAATATCTTAGATAAATCATCTTATAAAACCCCAAAATACATAATAAAACATCTGATAAATATTTCAATTAATTGAACTCGAGTTATGTTATTTTAATATATTTATATTATTTTATTATTAAATCAAAATTGAATGACTTGATTAAATAATTTTATTATCAAAACGGAATAGATTTATATTCAACATTCGGAAAAGTTTGCTAGGTTTGGACCAAACAAAAATCTTTTTTCAAATAATAAGGGTTCTTATTTATCATTTTATACAGAGAGACTTCTATAAGCAAAATGAAGAAAATAAGAGGAGGATTGATCCCAGAAAAACACATAAGTATGGGGCTTTTCTGGAAAATGCCTCTTTTGTGCGCCAATATTTTAGGTATGAACCCACCGTTTATTATTATTTTTAAATAATATTTATAATAACTATAAGTTTAAAAAAATATTTTTAAATAAATTTTACAGTATTTTTATTATGACAGTTGAAGCACTGTAACTGTTCAAAAATACTGTGATAAACTAAAATATTAGAAGATATTTTTAAATTAAAGATACTATTAAAAAAAAGTAAAATTAGAAGTATTAATCGGGAAAAATCGAAATTGTGGTTATTTTAAATCTACTCATCGACGGCAGCCTAATAAATAAATGGGAAGACGGACAATGGGAGGGATTTTGATGGAAAATGCTCGCAATTCAAATTAATAATACGGCATTGAATCGATCGGCCGCAATCGACCCTCATATCTCTTCGCTCGCTGCACCGAAAATTTCTTTGCGTCCTCCCTCATCTCTCCGCCTTCCTTTACGTTCTTGGGTCTTTTTTCGAAGCGCTGAATCGGAATTGCTGGCTGTTCGGCCTTTTGGTTTGTCTATTTTGGAAATGATCGCCACAACGATATCAACAACGGCAGACTTTCTTTGGTTTTGCACTTCATTCGCTCAGAAAAGCGGAACCCTAACGGACGGAGTGAGGAACCGGACTTGTCATCATCCCAAATAAGTATCATGGTAGAAAGGAAAAGGATGTCATTGAAATATACAGTACAGTGGATTCTGATCAGGCTGGCGGAAAGCGTTTCTTCTGGTTAAGTCATATCTGCTTCAATGTGAACTCTTTTCCCCCTCCCCTTCTGTTATTGTTATTCGAATTCAGGAGCGGATTACTAAATCCTCTGATCAAAGCTGCGAAAGGAAAGTGTTAATTTGAAGCCAATTGAAACAAAAAACGCAAGAAAAGACAGGTACATACGACAAGTTCCAATGAACCGAAGTTGGATAGAATGCAAAGGAACGAACTCGGGTTCAAGAATGCAACTTGACTCCAAGTGGAACATCGTGAACTTGGATCAACGTGAATTACCAAGTGGTTTCAGAAGTTCGTTTGATGATCTTGATGGAATTTTATGGAATTATCATGCATGGAATTCTCTGTATGTAATTTCGCCAATAAACGTAGTTGTTAGTAACTTCTGTTAATCAGAAGGCCTTCAAATTATTTCCATACTGCTATCCCTCTAGTTGTGCATTTGTTTTCAAGGCATGCATAAGTTGAAAACATATTTGATGGTTTTTAATATTGCGATGCTTGTCCTGAGTCATCCCATAATATCTTGGACTTATACAAGCACTGTATGCTTATTTGGTACCAGTTTAAATTGTGGGAAAATGGACATATTAAAGTTGAATTTCATAGTATTTGAACTCATGATTTCTTTTTCAGTTCATTCAATATGATCTGAAGATGGAGGCATTTACTTCCCACATGTCATGTGTGAAAGTTGTACTGCTGGGCGCATTAGGTCCCAGCGTCAACATGTATTCTGTGGCTAGATTAACTTTTCTAGTGAAGTTCTTTCTGTTTTAAGCTGTTTTTGCAACGTTTGGGAAATCTTGACAATCATGTATGGTTCTAACTATCCAATTCAAATTTCCGCTTTGTATGCATGGTCCGACATGATTTTTGCTCAAGATTACATTCTTGCTGCTTGGATTATGTCTTAGAGCTTTGTTTTCTCTATCATTTTCATCAAGTGAATTCATTACGTTAGCCACATTTTTTTGCTTGTTACCACAGAAACAACTGTTTTTCTACTACTCAAGAGGAAGTTCTCATTCTCCGTTATTCTTCTTAGTCTGAACTGGTTTCCAAAATCTGCTACCAATTCTATTTTAATTGAGTTTTCTGGCTAACCTCTGCACATGGTTGAAGACTGGATACCTGTTGGTTATTGCTGCACCTTACAAATGTCTTTTAGTCTGCAATTTTGAATTTTTGTTGTAGTCATTATCAACCTGTAGATGATGGTGATCATTGACATATAGTATCAAGGGTTCTCAAGGGTTCAGGTGAGATCCACATGTTGGCATCTTTTAATCTGCAATTTTGTGTATTGTTTTGCTCATTAACCATTTTCTTTATTCATGTAGTCTGATGATTTTATCACTGCTGCCACTACTGAAGTTAACCACTTTCTGGATATCATGGTGTGTCCTGCATGTTTCTTACCATTATTTGAAATTAGAAAAAACACTGTGACGTAGAAGCAACACTAGGAATTTAACTATTCTTTACAGGAAAATTTTGTTATGTTTTATACAGCTTCATTTTTGCAGTTGTCTCAGGCTACTTATCAATTAAGTAGACTTGATCTTAACAAATAAGAGTCTTAAACATAAAGTAGGTTACTTTGCACTTGAATTAAGAAGCTAAAGAATAATCATAGAATTATCAAGCTATTATTCTGACTATAGACTTATCAAGCTTCTACCTTAGTACCTTACAATCGACTTATGTAGCTTAACTGTTTTCTACTTCTTACTTTAGGCTGTTAGTGATGTATAAATTTGTTACTTTTGGGGACTGAAGACAAATTGGCTGGAAATTTAAAATATTTGCTGCTTGTGACCATACGTACTGATGGTTTTTATGCTCATGAATTTTTTTTGTTTCTAATGGTCAATTATCATGCCAGTTTGTTATGCAATTAGTAGTAAATGTACTTTTTTCTTTCTAGTCCAAAGAGTTAGCAATTGTTTTTAAGTTTAGATAATCTTGAGCTTTTTATTGCTTTGGTCATTAATTATTTGGAGTTGCTGCAGTTTATATGCTTTTCTTATCCACTATAGTTAACCTGCAATGATGACAAGTCTAGTAAGCTTGCATTTCTTATGTCCCATACATGTGATATTTATATTTGTTTCTCAACTGCTCTGATATTGATAATTTTAATCAATAAGATCTGTTTGACATCTCACTAGGATTTTAGGATATTTTAACAGTTTTATTAGTTCTATAGCCTTACTTAAAAAGATGATTTTGGTTCTCTCTTCCAGCTTTAACCACTGGGTTTTTGGTAGATACAGCATGCATGGATGATTCCTGATTTAGTTTTTGTATACAGGTTTTGTGCATGATATGAGTGCTAGAACCATTATCATGCAACTGGGAAGCAACATATGAAAATATTTCATAATCTGTTTTCTTCACCTTATAGGAAAACCGAAAGAAATATCTTAAATGAAAATTTGATCATCTTTTGATCGGTGAGTGCTTGGATATGAAAACCTTCTCATTTCACTATCGATCACATAGAACAGAATATTGCTTTAGAAATTTGTTTTAGCCTTGTGGCTTTTAGGGAAATCTAAATCTCAAAAACTTGATTAACATCTTTGAGGATTTTTTTTCCGCATATCCCTAGCACAGACTAGTGTACTATCAGTTGATTAGCAAATGGAAGAGATGAGTATTTCAAACAAGAAACACATCGAGAAAGAGAAAAGGAAATAACAGTTTATGCACCATTATTCCAACACCAATCTAAGACTGATAAAACATATCTACAGTTTATGGGAATTTGAAACGGGTACCATCCTTCTTTTTTACATTTGTGAAACTAAAGGAATACACCATCTTTATCTTGCCTTTGATTCCTTCTTTTTGGACTTGTTCTCGTTGGTCTTGATGAAGCAGAAGCACGAGCAGCAGGGGCTCTGAAACAAGAACTTCATTGTTGTATTCCAAGTTTTTAGACGTAGCAGTCACAGGTATATTTCTCATCAAGATATAACCTGTGTCTTGCGATTTCCTGCTATTTAATTAACCTGTGTTGATATTGATTCCTTTCCTGTCTCTCGTAAAAGAAGATGTCTGTGGTTCAGGCCTCTACAGGGAATATGGCCACAATCAGAAGTCATCGATCGACCTTGGTATTCTTTCCTTTTTGTGCTGTCATGCTGGCCAACTAGATAATATATTACTTGTTATCTTTTTATAAGTAGGATTTCTGGGTGGGAAGAAACTTGGTTCACCTCATTGAAATTGTTATCCAGAAGGCCTGCGTGAATGATTTTTGTTTGTTTTTGTAGTCTTGCATCTTAAGCCAGTATATTGTTATTTAATGCCGACAGAAACAGTGGGCAGAGATACATTTTCAAGCGAGGAATAACTGTTGTCACCAGAGGCTCAAAATAATTTACATTTATTTTTAACTTGGAATTGAGTTGCTCAATTTCCATGAGAGCATCCCACTGATAGCATTAGTTAGTTCAGTGACAACTACGGTTATAGTGATAAGCATTAGTAAGATTTGTTGAACCAGAAAGAATCTTTGTTTAATTTGACTCTTAGTTTCTCACTGCTGGAGCAACAGAGAGGGCAGGAGAAGGGCTACAAAATGCAGTGTGATGGTTTGTTTGGACAGGTGAAGGTAGGACTGCTTCGGTTGAAGCTAGCTTGTGACATGACATGATTTATTGATGTTTCAACTGTGTGTACTGTGGGAGTCCCATGACAACCGCCATGGTTTGACAAAGCCAAACTAGAAGAAGATGGGCATGGCTGGCTGGCTTGTCATCATTGCATATTGGATGGTAACATGAAGCTTTTTCTTGTTTTTATCTGCTACTCAGTATAAACTTTGTTGAGCATCATTACATTTTGTTGACTGTGGATTGAGGATTTCAGCACATGTTAACTCCATGCAATCTATCAACATGTGAAAGAGAAGACATGTTACCTTCATGTGCAGCTGAAAGATTCATTAAAGAGCTTGCGAGTTGGGAGTAAAATAAAATTACCTTCTGCTCCTGAGAACATGTTGTGTCCAAATGTACTACTCTTCGGCTGTCATGTCCTATTATTTATTGTACAGCAATCATTTCCCTCATCTAATTTCTTTTCTTCTGCAGATGATTTGGACTATGATCGAGAATGTGGCTCGGATTATTGATGGGTCCAACCCTGTGCATCACAATGACTCACATTCCGATAGGTAAGGCACAGATCGGCGGTGATGATAGTATTCATTTCAAATTTAACATGATCATGTTGAAGCTTTTGTCTAGCGTTAGCTAATGTATATTATTCTGACCATTACACACCACCAGACATGGATGGGTCCGGTCCTTCGTCTGACATCGAAATTATAAAGTAACCATTATTATTATTATTATTATTATTATTATTATTATTATTGTTATTATTATTATTATTATTATTGTTATTTACATCGGTATCCTTGCAAGGCGTGTAACAAGCGACCATGCCCCTGCAATTTTTAATGCAATATATATGTCCCTCGAAATATTTAATTTCCACTAAAATCTCTTTAATGTTTATATTATAATTATAACAATCGAATAATAGAAATATGATTATGAGGATGTAAATTTAGAATTAGAGGGTTTACATAAGAGAAATCATATACTTAGGAGGGAGGAACTTGTAATTTTAGCTAGTTATAAATCAGTCGATCGACCGACCGACACCAAGAAAGTTGACCAAGGTGATGACTTCATGTTGAAATCATAGAGTCCAATATAAGTAACACAAAACAAGTTACTAATTTTGACGCTCTTGGATCTACTTGTCTCCCTCTCACTCTCCCAGTCTTATTCTCACCAGCGGTGGCGGCAGCAGCGACAGCGAAAACATCTCTCTCGATCTTTAGCCATTTCCCACTTCAGTCTAGCCCTCTTCTTGGGGTTGCCCCTTCCCACCTCGCCACTGAGTCGCTCGACCGACGGCCCTGCTTCTTGGCGAACGTTCTTGATGAATCGGGAAGTGGCGATGGAGAGGCGCGGGGCGGGGAGCCCAGTGTACGGGCGGCAGTGGAGCGGGGGGTCGAGCAGCACGGGGTCGTCGTCACCCGGGATCTCCCCGGCGCACCACCGCTCGACGTCGGCGTCAGGGCTTTCCGGCGTCAGGAGGACGCAGAACGTCGCGGCGAGGGCCGCCGCCGCGCGCCTCGCGCAGGTGATGGCGTCGCAAAGCGCCACCGCTGAGGAGGACGAGGACGAGGACGAGATCCCGGTAGCTGGCGGAGTGGGGTTCCGGCACGGCGCTTCGCGGCTGGCGGCCGGCAGCAATGGGACCGCTCTCGGGGCTTCGCTGATGACGAAGGCTAATAGATCTCCTTCCCCTGCGGTAATTTTGCGACAGCTTAGTGCGCTTGCAGTAAATTTCACTGACTTTTTCCCTTTTTCTAACGAATGAAAGTGACCGACTTTGTTGGATATGCCTTTCTTCTTCGTTTTAAATGTTTAAACTGATTATTATAGCAACTAAGAGTTACATTTTGGCATGGGTTTATGATTATTACTAGCTAATTTGATGTTCTTTTGCATTAATTAGTTAGTTCGGAACCTCGTAGAACATACTCCATCAGTTCGTTCTTCTTCAGCTGGAAGACCATCAATTTCTGTTCGTTCAGCACCCTTGGCGCCCCCTAGCAAAACAACTCTGTTGACACCATCTCCTATTCCACCAATAGAACCTCCTGTTGATAAACGCAGGGAGAAAAGGTCATGGCATTACTTTATTTATTTATTTTTTGGGTAAATTTCCCCACAAGTTAGCTTTGTTATAGATCTTGATGATTTTGGTATCTCTATTTATTGATTAGTTTGATGCCACTCATTGTATAATCTTTAATATTTTTTACACCTGTTATAGAATTTTTACGAGCACATGTCAAACTGGCGGTGCTATCTTATTATTCCATCAGCATCTACTGAGTATTATCACTAGATGTTTCACATCCCAATGCAAGACAATGCAATTAAAAGTTTCTGGCACAATAAAACCTCTGTACAAACTTCTCATGTCGACATGCCCTTACATGAATAAGAATAATGAAGTCCATTGGTATAAATTAGAAAAAGGCATAGGTGCAAGTGCATCAATGCAAGTGCATCAATATATTCATGCCTGTCTTTGCTTAAAAGGAACAATGTGCTTGATGATGAATTCCTATGGCGTACATGTTGTATAGGCACAAGAATCATGATTAGATAACCAATGTACATATGCTAGAAAGATGTGAATGGACTACACTAACTTACAAGATCTGGAATTATTCAATGCAGAGTACTCGAATGCAACAGGTATAAAAAGCCTTAAGTAGCAGTAAGAATGATCCGGTTAGTCAACAAAGCAGCAAAAGTAGGCCAGTACTGGATGAAATGAAGTACAAGTCTTCATTCTCTGCTGCTATTAAAACTGCCTGATTCAAACATTTTGTATGACCATCAGAGTTAACTTTTTGGTTTTATCTATCCTTAAAATATGCATCAGGTCTTGAGCAGCAAATGATCGAAGAGTAGCAGTATGGTGGAATAAATATGATATCATATGAGAAAGAGAGATAAAGAAGTGATAAAAGGTTAAGTAGATACTAGATACAGGAGCATAGTGAAGAAGAAAGCAGAGGGGAAAAGTTTGTCATAAAACCAATATCGGATGAAGTTAAACAGGTAGAGTAGAGGAGAAAAATGAAAAGGAAGACAGAAGGGAAAAAGAGGCCTATATTTCTCCCTATTCTTGTAATAAAATCTATGTTCAAGTAGGTTTCTGTTATAATGATACATTGAATAAAACATTTTAGGTTTTCTTATTGCAGTTAAATTTAAGTCTGTCTTCATCTTTTCTCTTCATATTTTCTTGCGTTGGAATCCAAGGGATTGGATTGTCATCATCTTTCCCTGCCCTATCTTCTTGTTGGAATCCATAGTTCTTAGCTTTGTCAACCTTTGATATATTTAACACAGACATATGCATTATAAACTTTACTTAAATTTAATAAAATACTCCAAAAGCATCACTGAACATTACATAGAATAAAATGAGGGATTACCCGCATGGGAAAATGCAGAATTTTTCTCTAGGTCGAGCATTAGTATTTGTGGGATTTGTTGCAGATCGAACATTAGTAGGTGCAGAATTTTTTATCACACAGGGATGCTTTAGGAGTTGTACATTAAGATCTGCGGAATTTTATATCATGCAGGGATGCTTTAGGGGGTGTACATTAGCATCTGCGGGATTCCCAAACTGAGTTGTGCTAAATCCTTATTAAGTGAACTCTGATCAAGACAATTTAGGAGGCAATTTGGACATGAATTAATGATTCAGTTTTTCTAGGTTGACTATGACCTGGTGCACTAAAAATACAGTAAGAAATCACCCTGATATACTGGTGAATTGTGGTATGCAGCTGAATTGGATAGGTTTTGGTTAGTGAGTATTTGATCTTGATCTAAGTGTCAAGATTTATTTGATGTTTGGTTTGATTGAGTCATGATGTATTTTTCCATCTTATTTCTTGGTTAATTATTTCAAGTGTCTTGAAAGATATATGTAAATCAAACAATAGGCTGGGCGTTATCAACTTAGATATAGATATATATTAGGGGGACAAGGTCTTATCTGTTTTTAAGATTAGTAAGGACAATTATCTTATTATATCTGGTGCCCTAGTTTAAATCTTGGAAGTTCGGTTGGTCTTTAAATGAATGGTGTAATTGGTCATGTAACAAAAGGGTTTATGGTGGATTCTTTATGGAAAACATGAGTTTGCCCACAAGCCTTATTTTCTCTTATTTTCTCTTGTGGCTTGCTTTGTCGTGTGATTTCTTCCTTCTGACCTTTCTAAACCTCTTGTACTCCAGCCTTTAAATTCCTTTTTTAGAGCCTATTTGCTATATATTTGTGAACAACATCTGCGATTCAATCATAAATATTTTATTATTGCATAAGAACTACTGTCATGGTGCTCCAAAGCATGTAAGACATCTTTATTAATTTGACTAGAGATATGATGTCTCTTAACTTATTTGAGTAGATATGAAAAATTGACTTGCTGAACCAATCCCATAAGCTTTAACTGAAGAGGAGATAAAGGGTTTTCTTGGTTAGTGATGAGAAATAATATGGTTTAAGATCGATGCATAAATATGTTAGGCCTCCTATTTTTGCTTCTCCTTGATGTACTTAATACCGTTAATAGTATAATGTGTTAAGTCATGCAAAAGCTGATTAAAGTATGCCACAGATTTCCATCAGATATAAAACATCTAAACTCTGGAGATTCAGGAATTCAGCGACAAGCTTCTGCACTCCAAGATGAGGTATCATGCTGTTATGTGAATTTTACTGTTCTTTTGTTTGATGTAAGAAATAAAGCATTTAAAAATAAGATAGCAAATTCTTCATGTTTAAGACAGCATTTTGGAATAATCTGTTGGGCTGACTTTGCATATTTTGCAGCTGGATATGCTACAAGAAGAAAATGAGAGTATTCTTGAGAAGGTATGCTTCTCTAAATCAGAAGAAATACTTTCATGTTCTTTGTGGCATTGAGCTACTCTATTTAACTTTGTCATCCAGTTGCGACTTGCAGAAGAGAGACGTGAAGAAGCTGAGGCCCGGGCAAGAGAGCTTGAGAAACAGGTTACTTAATCTTTCTTCAATACATTTTATTTCTTTTTATTAGCTGATAACAAATGATGTTTATTCTTATTCCTCTTGCACATACAAGAATTGGACCCTTTCAATTGTTAAACCTCTTTATCTGTCATCTCTGTTACGGCATGAGGTGTGGCGTCTGACTGTCTGTAACACATTTTGGGAACTCAAAATGGTTTGAGTAGTTGATTTTTTTTCTTTCCATATGCATACATATATTGAGATAATAAGACTATCTGCAAGTCAATGGTAAAAGGATCACGTACTTTTGAAAACTTATGATATCAAGTATAAACTTTTTGTTTAGTGGTGACACAATCTGGAATGCAGTAAAATAAATATGTACACTAGAGAAGATAGAGACAGATAAGAATACAGGTCATAAGAAGAACAAGGTGGACACAAGTCACAGAACAATGAATAGAAAGTGTAAACTGTAAGAGAAGCTGGTGGTCTTTCTTCTGGCAGTATGGCATTTCTTTCTCGAAGAGGACTTCAATCTTCCTGAGCTGCAAAGTATTCTGAATTATAGCAACTTACAGTTTTTTGTATTTTGATTTTAATTTGTCAATAATAATTTGATTTCATAAAAAAAAATATAGTCCAAATATAGGACTTTTGCTTCAATTAAGACTTGCATAGGCACCCCTCAGGATCTCTTATATTTTTATAATTGGAAGTTTGAAACTACAATGGCTTCGATTACTTCATCATGAATTTAAAACATGATTTATATTAACTATAATAAAAGTTTTACAAATTGCATAAAGAGTAATGATTAAAATCAACTGAAATTAATGAAAAAAAAAGAATAACCAAATCTCTCAAATCACTTTACTAACTTGGGCTTGTATCCAGTTCAGGCAGATCACTATATCTAATTTCTATTGTTTTTGCTCCAAGGTATCACAGGACATTCCTTTTTTTCACATGTCATGGGAAGATGACTGTCATCTTTATTACTTGAAATCATAACCTTATTGCTTATTGTAATGACCTTCCACACCAAATGTCCTCATGCATTGTGCTACCTTGTGAGGAAAGAGTTGGGTCGATTGTGGTTTGGAGAATGCCTCTTTATTGTGTTATTTGAACCTTCCCTATGTATGAATGCCAATTTTTGGAGACCATGTTGAATATCTGGTTATGTCTATCACCTTTGTAATGTAGGTTGCTGCTCTAGGAGAAGGTGTATCTTTGGAGGCCCGGTTATTGAGCAGGTAGACCATACTTCTAACCTTATAACCAAGGCCACAATGTTGAAATCATAACTGTTTAGGTAATTGATTTGCAGGAAGGAGGCAGCACTCCGTCAAAGAGAGGTAACTTTGTTGCCTTAGCGATGTTCCAGATTATTCCCCTTTTTCTGCCAACTTTCGTTTCCCTTTTCTTTTTCCCTCCGTTTCTATTATGAGCTTAATTTAAATGGAAACCTGGATTTAGTCCTTTTCTTTGCATATAAACCCTTTCAAATACTTATGTTTGTGAATATACACCACTAAACCTTGTATCTGCATCATACCCTCCAACATTATCATATTTGCATGCATACCCCTTTATGCAAATTCTGTTAATAAAGTTTCACTGGCGTGGATTATAGTCTTAGTCTTGATAAATAGGCCAATGTACAGTTGGCCTAGCATTGAAGAAACCATCAATGGAGATGGGAATTTTGTGCCAAATTCTGATGGGTATTTGTGCAAAAGCAGGCCATAATGGTCTGAGCACTTGGGAGTGTAAGGTAGATCAAAGGGGTATTCATATAATCATGAAGGATTTTGGAGGGCACCGGTGAAAAATACCAAGTTTAGGGGTGTACAATGTGCAAACTTGTCCATTTTGTAGGGTATTTATGCAAAAGAAACCATCTTTTTTTAATATATTTCCAAAAACTATTATTGTATAAGTTACAGAGGAATTTAATTTTCTTGGTTGACAGCTATATGGTTTGACATAATTCACATTTTTTCTGTTGTCATGTATCAATGATTATTGCAATCTATTTGCAGTTCCTGAGAACCACAGTGATTGTCCTATTGTCAATTTTTAGTTTCTTGTTATCCATGCTGTGGTCTTTTACTTTCTTCTGCTCTTAGTCCTTTATCATCAGCTGCAGGTATAATTTAGCTAGACTAATTGATGCTCTTTTTGTACTTGGTCACACTTTTTTATGTCTGTTAACCTTTAATTCCATTGTTTTCTTTTATTGCTTGCCGGACTGATTTTAAAATCGGATGACGAATTCTGAAATGAAAAGCAACATACACCTTAAATTTGGCTACAAGCTCCAAATTAAATTAATGTTGAATAGCTTTTCTGTTGTTTTGATTTGATTGAAATTCAGAGCTCAACTCAAACCCAACAACTTGTTCAGTTAATTTTTGCTTTATTTCTGCATTTTGACCCACATCTGAGCAATGAATAATTATCTGCAGGGCCATCTCCAACTAAGTTCAAGTGCTCTTTGAAATTCCTGGTTTTTGTTCTGAATAGATACATTAAAGCATGAACCTTTGAAGGGCTAATTTTTAGATAACTTTTTCCCCATCTGTCATATCTCTGAAAGTACTTGTTTTGTCATTTTTCTTTTCCATTTGCATGGCACTTTTTCCTCTTATGTGGGAAATTGGTAGAGTTTTGTTGGTTATAAGATTTCAAATATTGTGGTATAACAACCAAAGTATACAGGGCAATTGTATAGTTTTCAAACATATGATTAGCTTTCAAATATCATGCACTGTTATACCAGTCTCAATTGTATTAGTCTGTTCCAACATAATAAACAAAATTTCAGTGAATTTTATCTACATACCAAGGAGTACCATACTAGACCTATTGGTATATACCAGTCCAATAAGATCCTGCATGGATAATTGTACTGGTATATAAAACTTTAGTTGGTTCACATGACTGGAGGGACTATGGGCATGGAAGTGTTATTGCATGAAGATGCTAAACAACAGCAAGAATTATTGTAGTATAATAACCAAAATATACAGGTCATATTATGCACTGGTAAAATCGGTCTTAATTGTATTAGTCAGTACCAACATAATAAACAAAATTTCATTAAGTTTTCTTGACATACCATGGTGTACATACCAAACCTGTTGGTATATACCAGTCCAAAAAGATCTTGTATGGATAATTGTACTGGCATTTTAAACTTCAGTTGGTTCACGACTTAATGTGACTGGAAGGACTATGGGCATGGAAGGGTTATCACATGAAGATATTAAACAGCAAGAATTATTCCAATTAACTTGTTGCTTTGGGGCTATTTATTACTTCCATATTCTCTGTACTGTTCTTTTAAACAATTCTTCAGATATCTTGTCTACTTTTCAAGAATTGACGCTGGTTATTGAAGTTGCTGTACTGCAATTCGTGAGGCCATGACTATCAAATTTGGTTAATCTCCATGGTCATGTAGGCTATATGCAACATCATAGTTCTTGTTATACTTCTGCTGATGCAGTACTTTGATTTTTACCTAAGGCTGCTCTTGAAGCTGCAAGACAAACTAAGGATGGGAAAGATGAGGAAATAGCAACACTCCAGAAAGAAGTAGAGGTGTTATTACTGATTTCATTGATCACTTTGTTTTAAACATTCTTGGGAACTCTTTTAGTATCCTGTCATGGTGATTTTGCTATTAACTTGCCTTTTTATTTCTTGGCTTGTGTCCGGAATAGTCTGCTAAAGAAGAGGCTGTGGCAGCCGTAGAGCAGCTCAGGCAAGCTGAATCAGACGCAAAGGCTCTTCAATCAATGACACAAAGGATGATCTTATCCGAGGAGGAGATGGTATGCATTTTGAACATTGCCAGCATGTTGGATGGTGTCTGTGATTCATTATGAGATAATAGGATCACATCAGTATGCATGTTCCATATCTACAGGAAGAGGTTGTCTTGAAGAGGTGTTGGCTTGCTCGTTATTGGGGTTTAGCAGTTCATCATGGTAACATAGTTTTCATATTTTGTACATCTGTTTTTGTTTGTTTCTTTGACTCTTCACATTGAGAGCTTGCTCTCTCTCTCTCTCTCTCTCTCTCTCTCTCTATATATATATATATATATATATATATATATATATATATATATATATATACACATATATTGTATAAAACCTGAAGAACAAGGGCTTATCTAGTTTACACCATTTCATAGTATGCACAAGATTATGCTCTCATTTACACCATTTTATATGTTACCATAAACCCTGTTGTTTTTTCTGACTAGATTATCATTTGGGCATCTTACAGCTATTTCTCTATACTGATAATATCTGTACGTGCTTATCATTCTTGATCATCATAATCTCACAGTAATTGTCAACCCTAGCGAATGACACAAGTTGGGAAGTTTGCACCATAGACATCAAGGTTCGCGATACCGCCTAGTATGGTTCGGGCGTTAATTTACCGATCCGACAAATGATACGTGAACCAGGAAAAACCGTACAGGGCCTATATCGTGTGGTACAGTATGGTACAGGCACTGTACTGTGCATATTTTTGTTGTTTCAATATTTTTTGTGCCTTTTTTGGAACTGGGTATGTACCAACATTATCAACACTCATACACCCATAGGGACCTGCGGTATTGGTCCGAGCGGTTACTGGTACATAACCATACATGAAATTGCCAAACTTGATAGACATAAGCAGAGACCTTGACAGCATCCTATCAGATGATTACTTTGTTATTGTAGCATGGCAAATGTTACAAAAAATATAAAATCGCAGATGTTTCTCAGTTTCATGAGATACGGTTGGATATCTGGTAGGATTTCTTGCTGTGAACTAATCTTCTAGTTTTCATGGGCCAAAGAATCCTTTATAAAGATGCTAATACTTACTGAACCAGGATTGCCAACTTGCCCGCGGGATGGGAAGCAATCTTTATGGACAGTTAGTTCATTAGATTTTAATCCTTTGCATAAGAGATGAGGTTTTATGGTCATTAGGTATTAAGTTACGGATAACACTGAAAAACAGCAAAGATAGGACCATATATCATATTACTGAAACCAAGGATTAAAATATCGTATCGTACCGATGTTTCGAGGTAGGCTTGGTATGGTACGGTACCATGTACCGAGCGGTACACCTAAATTAGGAGTAAAATCCTCCAAAAATACCTGAAAAAAAAGTTAGGATAGGGTTTTTAAGTTATAAATAAATATAGTAATAGTATAAGTTTAGCAAAATCAATATAAATTAGGTAAGAATAGCATCATATATCTTTTTCGGGACTCTGAGGAATAGTTTTGTGTAAGGTTCATATTTCAGTCCGTTACGGATTGTCCTTCTGTAAATATTAAAATATCTATAGAAAAATCATTTGAATTGTTAGATTATTTTGTTATAATATAAACACTAAAATTCAAATGAATTAAATAATCACATATGTAGATATATTTGATTGTTGATTCTACCACTAAAACGAACGACGAGCCTCCACAGGTGGTGGATTGGGGTCCTCGATCCTATACATCTGCATATCAATATGATATGTTTGTTGGACCCAATCATGAAATTGATCCCACGACATAGTGTATTGATACACCGTATGCCATTGGTGCATCAATGTGGTGATGATCGTATGCTGATCATCATGAATCATATTTGTCCGAAGCAGCTCCTGAGGTATATATTGGTGAATGTCAGAGCTTCTACTTTTGCTATTGATCTACTGCTCTGTATCATACTGTTGCTTGGAGAAGTATGATCAACTATCATCGAACTGCTGTTGGCCATATGATTCTCCATAATACGATCAAATTTTGATTAAATCATCATTAAAATGACTAATCGTAGCATTCAATAACTTTAATAAAACTTAATTAAATTTATTTTACTATCATAAATATCTTTCAATATTTAATATGCATGGAATATAAATATTTGATCTGTTAAGTGTCATTTTGAATTAATCAATATTAAACACTATAATCATAATATTAAAGATCTTAATTACTCTCTAATTAAAGAAAGAGAATACATATCTTTTGATTAGAAACTTCTTCCTCTTAGTTATCCCAAATTAGTTTCGATTCAATTCACAAATCGTTGTTTTGTAGAGTTTAGGAGAGCACAAATGTGAGAAAAAGAGAGTTTGAGATAGTTTAAGAAGTATGAGAGTGAAATGGAATGAAATAATGGGGAAGAAGAGTTTAAAAACAGATGTGAAAGGGCTCCAACGGTCAACCAATCGGTAACGGTTGAAATTGGCTGTTACCGAGCTGTGCTGGGCGGTAACGGTCGAAATTTTGATTGTTGCCACCCGATATAACCTTGTATCGTCTGATATGAGGCAATGTTATGCGTTCCGCCCGGTAGCGGGCGGTCCGTGTACCGGTATCCTATCGGACTGGTACATACCGTCCGGTATTATTCGAAACTGTATTCCTTGACTGAAACCCTTTTGGACAATTGCATGAAAGAAAATTCTTGTAGGTAATCAAGCTTTTGGAGGATCTTTAATCTGACATCATCGTGCAATCTTTCTGCTTTCTACAATTAACTTCATAAGACAATGAAGAAGCAAACTGATATAGTGATCCTCATTCCCACTTTTTTGATGTTTGATAATGAACGCTCAAGTAACTTCAATATTCATCATTTTTTATGTCTTGCACCAAATAGTTTACATTCATTTTTATTATTTCTCAATCTACATAAACTGTACTACTTTGTTCATGTCTTTTGATCTGAATTAGATGTTTCCACTTATAGGAATCTATCCGGAGATTGCTGTTACGAAACATGAGCACTGGTCTTCATTAGCTCCTCTTCCTCTCGAGGTTGTTATTTCTGCTGGTCAAAAGGCTAAAGAAGAATCAAGAAACCGAGGCAAGAGATAAATACTGCTAATATGACCATATGCCAATGATATGATCATAAAATTGTGCAAATAGTCCGTCTTTGCATATTCATCCCTGTTGCTTAGTGTGTTTCAACATTGAATGTTGAATAGGAAATCATGAATCTGAAAGAAGAAATAAGTTTGTGCGTGATTTAAGTGATATAACTGGAGAAGGCAACATAGAGAGCATGCTTTCGGTTGAGAAGGGCCTAAGGGAACTAGCATCTTTGAAGGTTCTTTTTTCATCTTTACTTCGTTAAAGCTGTTCTTTTTGTCTGTCATTGTCTTTTGTTACACTTCCTTTTATGTTCTCATTTTTCCCCTTAAACTCTTTCTATTTCCATGCTAAATTATTTGTCTGCCTTAGCTGAATATGGTAGCCATCTATTAATACCTTGGTGAATACTTTAAGGTGGAGGATGCTGTTGTCCTTGCATTAGCTCAACATTGGCGACCAAATTTTGTTCGGCAATTTTCTTCAGGTTTGTAACTACCTTGTTTTGATATCCTCATAATTTTTTGTTTTTTTCAATTTTTCATGTTCTTGAATAATTTTGATAATTTTATTTTATATTACTTTGCATAATTACCCTCACAGCTTAAGTTTATGCTCTTGCAGAACTAAGCCAAGAGGAGATAGAAGATGTTACCTTTAAGCAGGTCAGTCTTAGTTTTTCTAGAAGTGTTTACTGAATGCGTCTTTTTGTTTATGGCATTGTTTACTCCTGGTTTACAAACTATCATTTAGTTCTGTTCGCAATTGATTGGCGGTGAAGGCCATCTGATTCATTTTTTAATCAGATAAATATGTATTGATCGCATAAATATGATAAGGTTGCTTCTTTGCAACTTGGTAGCGTAGGGTTTGAGTAATAGAAACAACATCTCTAAATATAAGGGTACAGATATTAACTCCTCAGGTTCCACATTGGCATGAGCCTCATGTGCTCTTTTTCATAAATATGTATGCACCACATATTTGTATTCATATCTGAATCTCGCTGAGATCCATGGGATATGGTATGGAGAGAGTTCGAGTTTTACCTTTATACAGATATTCAAACATTCTAATATTTTCCAAAATATCAAAAGATTTGTATTAACATAAGGAAAATATTTCATTTTACTGGTTTTCCTAATGACAGTATATCCTTTTCTCCACCCCTTTGCTTTTTATTTAATCACACTTAAGTTTTCTTATAAATATATCAGTATGAGCTAGTGTCATAGTTATTTGTTGAAATGCAATATTGGCATCGATATCTTTCTGAAATCCTGTTTGAATTGCATTCATCATATTTCATAGTTGTACCTGTATCTGGATCTGTTATGAACAACTGATGTTACAATATAGTATCTGCATAATATCCATATTGGAATGCGTCCACTGATTAGATACAAATGTCTTTCCTAATATCCAGTCTGTAATGTTCATTTCTCCTCCAGTTTCACATCTAGTGCAAGATGTTGCGCTTGGTGAGACATGAATTTATGCCTGAACCTTGATCAATCATTTTTTTTACACTGCATTTTAACAAATATCAGAATTCACCTTTCTGCCGATGAATGTATGCATGGAAGATGACCGACCATTTTTTTTTCATATTGCATTTTGAAAGCATCATAATTCACTTTTCTGCCTATGATCAGTTAATGTATTTATTGCCCTAGATTTATGTTTTGGTGATTGTTATTTGGTTATTATCTATCTGAAGTATATGTACCATACAAACATTCCATTGTGCTTATTAGTTGCAATTTCTGATAATCTGAAGTACTCTTTAATGCAAAAATAGAATTCACTTTCTGCTTATGATTAATTCTACTTGGGATCAAACATTCATCTCCATCATTGAGAACAATGAATTCTCCATGAAAATTTCAGCATTGCTTATGCCACCGGTTGAACTTGAACCGTTGATGGCTGCTTGTGATGCATTGCTCAGGCTTTCATCCAATTATAATTTATAAGGGCCTTTGATATCTGATGTGGCTATTATACATCTTTTCTAGGTTTAAATTATAAAAGCTTGAAAGAATCTGTTCTATCGGAAAGTTTAAATTGATAAAACAGAGAACCTGCCGCATTCTAGTATCAATAATATTTTTATCACTCCTGATATGGTAGACTGCAAAAGATGAATGCATATGTTGGTGTTCTTTGAAGGTTTTTTAGCATATAATATCATAATTGTATCTTAAATTTTATTTTTAATTTTAATTTTCTGTTATTTTTTAAAGTTATTTTCTAGGTTGATTTCAGTCCTATCAATCTGATCGATTTTGCCAATCCTAGTCATATCATTCCTATTGGATCCTAATCATAATACCAATCGCGCAAACTATCTGTATGTAGTCTCTTTTACTTCTTGTCAGATATTATGTATACTTCCTAGTGTTTGTGATCATCGACCCATAAGAAGGTATTTAATCACATCATTTATTTTAACTGGATTCTTACTTTGGATGTCCCGTAACCAAGCACTTTCTATCCTCTAGGAGTTCAAGACCAAAAGCATTTTTTTGGGCTAAGTTCATGTACTTCATTGAAGTGAATCCTTTCAGATCTTAGAGATTATACATATTTTGCAGGCGTGGCTTATATATTTCTGGAGAAGAGCCAAAGCTCATGGTGTAGAAGAAGATATTGCTGATGAACGGCTGCAGTCTTGGATTGGTCGCATTGGACAACCTCCAACTTCTCACGATGTTGTTGATGGTAAATTGGTCTTCTGTTCCACACCAATGCATTCCAGGAATTGCTTCCCTTGGATTTTCACTATAAACTGTAATTTCAAGGAAAATGGAAGTTGTGAATTCTGAAAGCTACATAAAAGTTGGAAAGATGAAAAATTCTAGAAAGCTTCATTTTCAGTTCATTTCCTACTAATTCCTGAAGTTTGGTGGTTTGTGATCTCAACTGTCACTTTGATATGGTATGGAAAAGGAGTTTTGTAGCTTCCCAAATAACTCCAAATGAAAGAGCCTCCAGCTTCAACTTTTGTTAGTAGCCCCAAATAACTTATCCATTTCACTAGGAAATATGCTGTACACAAGAACTGCTTACAATTTTTTGCTTAGTTTGGTGGTCTAGCAAATTATTATAATTATTGCCCTGGTTTTGGGTTTTGATTGTTTTATATTAAATTAAGCTGAAGTACTATTATCTAATGCAAAACTTGTGTACCCTATGCTACCGCAGTGGAGAGAGGTCTGATAGAGCTTAAGAAGCTGGGTATTGAACAGCAACTATGGGAAGCATCTCGGAGAGAGATAGAGCTGGATACATAGAACAAAAGAGACCATTCCTAGGAATGGCCACTAAACCTTTCTGTTGCTGTATGCTTAAGCTTCTTGTTACGTATCAAGTGTTTTGAGTTCATTAAGTACATCCAACTAAGTTCTTGTCATGTGTAGCTGCAGGCAGATTTTGTATGATTTTGATAGTTTCTGTACTTCTGGTGATTTATCTATTAGCGTAAACATTGATGTTTGGAACGTGGTCCGACCTTTGGTTTGTAATGTAGATTGTCAAGAGTATTTTGCTTTGCTGTATTCCATCCCATCTGTCTTTTAAATCATTTGCAAATTCTAGCCCAAGACTAAACATCATCGTTCTAAAATCTGCATAAGCACAATACCGCATCCATGAGTGAAAAGGCGTCAAGTGAGCTTGTTTGCATCGATCTTGTACTATATTGCCTAAGTAAAGCTTTCAGTGCGTTGTGTGTTAATTGTTGGATGGCATCAAGCCTTTTAGCGGTAACTTATTCATGCCATTGGTGATACATTAATTTTCCCTTTTCGCAGTCATACGAGAATTAAGTAGGCTGTCTTATTGTGAGTTGGTGAAATGTCATGCTTGGTTGAATCGTCAAGCTCTTAACAAGTGGTATCAGCATAGACCAATATTTTGATGTGGTATTTATTATATACGATGCTTATATGGTTTTTACGACACAGGATAAATTCTACATATCGCATTAAATAACATTTTTTGGTTGCATCCTCAACTTTTGATCGGTTCTCCAAATGAATTCTTTTGGGAAACATTAATTCCTTGCGACATCCTCAAAGCCTTCGATCAATTTGGCATCACACGAGCTGTTGGTCGTTAGTAACCCACGCAGTTATATTACCTTCGGTAGTCAGCCATTTCTATTTAGCTACGAGGTACAAAGCTTTTGTTCTTACAGGCAGAATAGATTTTTGGTAAGAAAGCAATGTATTTATTATTATCTTTTTGCTTTTATCTTTTTCTCTACAGTATTCAATTTTCTTGAGAATCAACTAGAGTACTTACTATTCGATCACAAAAAATAAGTGAACTTTAAAAAAAATGACATGGTTCAAAATCATTTACCAAATGTTAAAAACTCTTCAACTCATCTGACTAATTTTTTTGAAAATGTCAATCTATAAATTTGAACTACTGAGAGTAAAATGCTAATATCAGATTTCATCTTTCTTCTTGGGCTTTGCAAGAAGAAGGATGGCCTGGCAGATACTATCCTTCAAGAAATTTAGGCTCACATGGTATTTGAGGAATATTGTAAAGCTGGTATTTCGTGCAAAACAGTTCTCCAAGTTACGGCATATATTACACCACTCGAAATCTAAAATTTTCATGGAACTGATCTATATACAACTTCCATGATCAAAATGATCTCTAATAAAATGGGAGCAGTAACTTTTAAATAACAGGAAGAAATTGTACAAAACTGACACCACTCATATAAATCCGAGCACCATCAAACTGAATAAATAGGCAGATATCAGATAACGTAAAAGCACCACTATTGAGATTCAGAAAAGGATCAACCTGTCTCTGGCTCATGATCGCAAGCATCGATTGGTACAAGGAATAATTTATCAGTTATGATAGATACTTTAGCTGGAACATGAAGACAGCAATCCGCTAGAAGTTCCCAACTGCTTCGTTCCCTTTTGATCTTAACTATCTATTAGGGTCCCCAAGGAGAACAATAATTTCTTCGTCTTTGATGTTACCAGCTTCTATCGCACATTGTAGGGCAGTTTTACCATCCTCATCGGTAGCATGTGGGTCAGCACCCCTACATGAAGAGTTGCACACAACAGTGAACTTGTGTCAACAAAAAGTTAGTCGTGAAACTTGCCTTAGAGCCCAAAACTAACATGTAGCATAAGCAGAAAAACCTTAGATGGATAATGTAAACCCATTTTACTATCCAAGTAACCAATATATATATATATATATATATATATATATATATATATATATATACATACATACATATACATATACATATACATATACACATACACATATATATACATATATATACACACATACACACACACACACACACACATATATATATATAATTTGGCTATTCCAGTGAAAACAAATTTAATAAAGTACCCTCCGATTCGAAAATGTTTATGCTATTTCTAGTGAGTGCAAAGAAGGCCAAATGAGGAATGGGGAAGTAGGAGAAAAACAGTGCATAGCATCTGCAAAGTTGTAAACAATCTTGAAAATGGTTCTTAAAGTTTTCCCAGGATTTCAGCTCAGATTTTTTGAGTCAGTAAAACAAGCTTAGGACACCTACATTTTCAGAAAACCAAGTTCGGATACTAGTCTCTGCAGTCAGTAACAAAACAAAATGGAACTACTTTCTAAAAACAAGTATCTGCATGGAGTTTATACTTTAAATAAAATTTCCTCCATGAACATGCTGAAGTATATGGATAAGATAAATCACCTTGTCAACAGCAGTTTGGCAAATAAATGTTTGCCTCTGAGAATACAATGGTGAAGTGGTGTCCTTCCCTTCAAATCGATAGAATTTACATTTGCACCATACTGTAAGAGTAGCTCTACCATGGCCATATCTGAAGTCAAGCAAGCAAGATGAAGTAGAGTGAAGCCTTCAAAGCAATCATCCACTTCGTTTATGTTGTCGCTGGTGCCCACTGAGCTAAATGAACTCATGGTGGAAGACTTTTGCAAAGAATCACCTAATAAGCAGCTAGAACTATAATCGAGCACTGCAGTTGGCTGATCTTGTAGAAGCATAGCTTTTGCAAGAGTTACAGAAGAATTTACGGATGCCTGTCCATAGATGATGTTGACATCAGCATTCGATGCCACAATATGGTGATATACTGCTTTCATGTCATTGGCACGAACACTTTCCCACATTTTTTGTGCAACTGAAAGCTGATCTGCTGCTGTTTTATGAACAAAAAGCTTCTCCACGTACTGGGAGAAAAGACACATTTCAGTATCCAAGGAACAAATCTCCAAAGTCAAATCACAGGTTTTTGGTTGGATTTAGATTTTGTAGTCTAAAGACTCTAAACATGGAAATAGATATTTGAAACTAAACAAAGAACAATACAAGAATTGACAAACCCTACTGTATGCACATAGATCTTCATCAATCATATTCTGTGAGAATCTTTTATGTGAAAGCTACATCAGATTATAAAAGGGCAAGTAAATTTGAGTCAAATATCACAAGCATATAGACCTAAACCATTACTATTGATAACATGTCTGAGCAACAAAGAGAAGAAAGTAAATGAACAATGAACATAAACTGAGCACACACAACATTGGCTTTAGACAATGATGTCTTGCTACAGAAAACTCAATTACAGAAGTAAGTTGATCTTATAGAATTGCACAGATGCAGCAGCCTCTGCATAGCATTTATTGAATTGCACAGAGATGTCTTCAGGATCTGGCATTTTCCTGACAATTCTTTTCAAGTACCAGTGTATCATCAGGCTTCATTATGTCATGCAATAAAAGCAACAAAGTAAACTCTTCACCTTTTCCTAGACTCCAAAGATCAGAAATGCAATATAAGCTACTTGGCATACAAACTGAGAAGCAAATATCCCCCCAACCCTTTTCGTTTTTCCTTTTTCTTTTTTTCTTTTTTTTCTTTTTTATTATTCCTTTTCTTCTCCTTTTCATTGGAAAAAGTTCATTTTTAAGGAGACCAACTTTCTCATATCTGGTTATATGCCAGATTTCCTGCAAAAAAAGTTCCTACAAATTTTTTTTCCCAATATCAGTGTGATAGAAAACCAAAAAAATAGAACCAAAAAGAGTTCCAGAATTTCTAGAAAAGCTAGCAACACACAAAGATATAAGTTCACCAAATTCCTCTTTGCATTAATTTTCAACCCACTTTTACAAGAAAAATCAAGTTGTACTAGTTCCTACTAGGGAAAAGAGAAGAAGTTTAAAGTCAATTTTCCTTTTCTTTTCACACACTTATTTATTTTTGAGTTTGGACATACTTCAACATTTTCCCTGCAATCAAATAGACTCCAAGCTAAATGGTCTATTGCACAGAACACAGAGACGTAATATGTACCATGGAAATATATCAACACACAAAAACAAGAAAATTTAGCTCTTGCACGCCTCCAGACTAATTATGCTGTCAAAAGAAAATAATTACTCAAAAGCTTTGCTTATGCAATCTGAATAACATTCATTTTTATACACTATTAGAACAATGTGATAGCATATATCAAATCCTTACTGATACGAGATATCAATATGGATGTTGCTTATCCAAGTCACATCTAATCGTGACAACTGCTCTGTACGTTGATGGAATTTCTCAATCCATTATTACATAATTCACAAAATGTAGACTGATTTAACGAAGGCTGATGATGTTAAAGATTTTAGTGAACTTCCAACTTCTTTTAAGATATGCAATTACTTCAGGGAAGCGTTGTTGATTATGCCCAACATAAAAATAATTCAGTCCCATCATCAGTGTAAATCTATTATCTGCTAAAAAGTAGCTGATTAACTAACATCTTTGCATCATCTAATATTTCGTCAGCATGTCCCAAAAGCTTCATGTTCTTGCTAATTCCCACAGACAACCTCTGCCTTCTCCAGAAGATCAAAGTTCAAATTAAAGAAAAATTTGCATTTGCCTCAAAGATTTGAACATATGCAAAAAAGGGGTAGAACACAAAGCCTCCTTCCAATAATCTGTGCTGTTTGTCATCAACAAACACAAAGGGGCCTTGATTGATTGAACTCTGAGACTGACAAATAAATGGTATAATACCTTTGCTTGAATGAACTTCTCCTTCACTGTAATTGGATCTGAATGTTTAGGCTTATTGATACAGTAATATCCTTGAGTCTTGTCAACAATACAGAAACTGCATAACACACATTTACAAGTTTTTAAAATTTAAGCAAGAATTGCTAGAAAATTTCTGCCAGGTTTATTGGTACCTTGAGACATTCTCACATTTGCCGTTGCTTGTCGATGGAAATGATTCTTCCCAGATGGTGTTGGCAACCGTATTGCCCAGTGATTGAAATAGATTGATAACAGAAGGCTCCCATACTCTAACATCAAGAGTTAGAGATCTCACCTGTAAGAAACAGAACATAATTATAAATATTTAAAGCTATCCAAAAATTGAAAAGAAAACTGACAACAAACATTATAATGATTAATCAGAAATCAGCTAACCTAAATTCTTCAGCATAAGCTAATTAACAGTTAAAAGAAGATCAAAAC